ACACACACACACACACACACACACACACACACACACACACACACACACACACACACACACACACACACACACACACACACACACACACACACACACACACACACACACACACACACACACACACACACACACACACACACACACACACAATTGTAAGATAATTGACTTTTTGAGAACACTTTATTTTTTTAATTAGAATAAAATTGCAAGTATCAAGCAACTAGGCCAGTGTCAATAACTGGGTCTTATACCTTATCATATTTTTTAATAAATTATTTTATTTTTTTAACAAATATAAGAAATAAATTCATTTTATCATGCATATACATACATGAAGTGCATTAAGATTATTGATATTTGTATTATTATCGACGTTGAAGACACTGCAGCAACTGTAAAAATACATAAATTAAAAAAAAATATCTTATGATTATAATCTATTAATAAAAAAGTCCATAAATTTAAAATTACCATTAAAAAATAATTGATATTGGTTCATCATAACATCACCTTCTTTCGTTGTTCCTTTACAATAATAATTACCCTCGTCCCATTTGTTTAAATTTGTGATAAACAATTTCGATGTGTATAAAGAAGCTGCTTTAGATTCATCTATTGCAACTCTCTCTAAAATAAAAATGATTTGAAGATTCGATCATCAATTTATTCATTTCATAGATACCGAAATAATATCAGATAACTACCATTCGTTTCAAGAGAGTTACTGTTGTTATACCAAACAATTCTATTTGGAAAACTATCAATAGATGCACTGCAATGCATTTCAATGGCACCACCTTCAGTTGCGTTAATATTTTGGTTCATAATTCCGAAATGATAGTCATGATGATGAGACTCAGCCTTGAATTTCACGGATTTATCAAGCTCAAAAAGTTCATTAGAAATCGCAGGTTGTTCTAAATAAAATAGAATAGTGTTAAGTTTATCTAAATGAATGTTATTAGTATGTGTGGATAATAGACGTTTCGAAATTTAGAAAAAAAATAATGTAAAACTACGGATTCTTAAAGAAAGAAAAACACTAAAAATAACGATTGACAATTGATTAGATACAATGACCACGAACCTATACTCGCTTATAAATGTCAGTGTAACTCAATATTGAGTACAAAATAATTAAAATCTGCAATATTCACTTTTATTCGATTTATCTTAATACACTGACCTATTACCAATGATTTTTCATAAGTTCGATGGGGGTCTATCAAACTTGAATACTAGTAAAGCTGGAAGTTATTGTGGTATCATGATAACATGTCAGGGAACTTATGCAAAAAGAGAATTCCTCTCGACCAATAGCGAAAATGGAATGTCCATCTGTTGGATTGAATTAGATTCACTAGTCACTTGACCAATAAGGCGAGAAAACTTTAATTCACTAAATAAATTCCTTAACAGAATTGGTAAAAAACTAGCAGAATACAAAATAATATTTTTTGATTAATTAATAAAAAAAAGTATCACTTTATCGTTTTGCTGTCGAGTTATAATAATTAAATTTTCTCGGTCATTTTGATATAGTATTTCTACGGTAAATAATTATTTGACAATAGTATCAAGCTTCCGACAGTAGTAAATGCCCCCTGTCTATACTATACCATGGAGAAACTGCCGGAATACAACAATAAAATATTATTCATACACAGAAAAAAAATTGAATCAAGTAAATAATTTTGAAGAACTTAATTTTCTTGATTTGAGTAGAAAGATTCTTAAACTAAGAAATTTTTCTGGGCTTAAATAAATTTTACTTGGTTCAAAAATTTCACATCTTGATTCAAGACAATGAAACTCTTTAAAATTATTTTCTTGGTTCAAGAATTTTCATCTTAATTCAATTAAAATTTTATTCCAGTTTACCTGCGAATTTTATCCTCTGCTTCTTGATAACATTTTCACCCATTGTATTATTTGCAACACATAACACAAAACCTTCCTTTATAACTTTGACGATGATGATTGATGTAACTAATCCATCAGTAACAATTGTAGAGATATTCTAAAAATATATTATTTCGATTAATATAACAAGCTACGATTTCTTCCACATTTTTCCTCAAGACTGGCCCAAAAATCTTGGCCAAGTATCTGCAGCAATTTAAAAATTTTTGAGCAAGAAATGTAAGCTAGAATTCTTAGAATCTAGATGCAGATACTTGATCAAGAATCTTGAGCTAGCCTTCCTCAAAGCTTGTTCCAAATTGTTGCTAGAACAATCATCAATCTCATATACCTGAAATAGGTTCGAGGTCATAGAAGTTCCGATTAGTTTATCAAACTCATCGACATACTGCCACACTATTGTCGGCACTGGATACCCTTTAGCTTGACATTGTAGTCGAACTTTTTCATTGGTCATATACAAATTCTCTTCTTCCACACTTGAAGGTGGTTCTGTAATATAAATGTGTTTTTACAACAGTCCACTAAAATTTATCAGCTCTATTTTACCGAGAATGGATACGTTGAAATTGATCGTTTTTTTGAACTCTGAGTTATAAGCGACCAGTGTGTGAGTTCCCGTGTCATCGTGAGTAAGCTCGCGGCTTGATAATTCAATGGAAAAGGTTTCGCCGTTGATTTGATAGTCAAAAAATCGCCGTTGATAGTCAATTTCAAGTCCTTTTGGGTTGTACCAATTGAATTCTGGTAGAGGGTAGGCATCTACACTAATAATCAACTTAGCGTGATTTCCGAAGTCGTTAACGTGTTCAATTTCTGAACTTTTTAATGATACGTCTAGGTGTTTGTGTTCTGAAAGTCAATTGATTATTAAAAAACGCCTTTATTACACGAGATTAGAGATGCAATCAACTTACGATGGGGCACTAAATTTATTCTAGCTGATTCAACTTTGGAATATTGATACACAAAGCACTCGTATTCACCAAAGTCTTCTGCAGTTACATTCTCAATTATAAGCTCAAGATTTAAAATTTGCGGAAGTCTTTTTCCATTTGCAGAGAGCGAGTTTTCGTTTTCGGTAATCCGGTATTCTGTTTCTTTAGTTCTATTGTTCTGAAATTTTTTTATTTTTACAAGTACAATTTTCAATTAATTAATTGCTGTTTAATCGTTATTACTAGCTGAGGCGTCACCCATTGAACGAAATATTCTCTATCTTCATAAAGAGAAATCGTGCAGTTCATACTGAAATTTTTACCAATTTCCATGTGGGTCAATGAAAAAGTTGTGATGGTAGGTACGTCGCCCTTTTTTGACTCACCTAAAATTTAAGTATTAGAAATTGCAGACTAGGAAATTTCGGATTACTTTTTAAAAGTTTTATTAAATAAAATATTCTCTATTAAAATGAAAGTATTTTTGGTTGATTAAATGACCTATCGTCGCCTTTTTATTCAAACGTTTCTAATTTCCACTAAAAAAATCGACTTTATTCAAGAGTAATATTTTGTCAATTGAAAAGAATAATTTTCAATATTTCATTCTATATCTTTGAGAATATTTTGTATGAATCGAGTAAATTTTTACCGTATCAATTAAAAAATTCATTAAATAAATTGACTTCTTAGTATTGATATAGAATTAAATTACCTGTTAAAGTAACTCTGAAAATTGTTAAATTTTGCTCTTGTTTTTCATTTTTGATGATCGCACATCCAAAAGAAGCACTGTCGGCTGTGAAATTTTTAAAAATAAATCCTTTCTTCGCGTCGTATGCTAAAGATTCAGTTTCATCTGAAATCTGATTAAAAATGTTATTTAATAGATGTCAAAAAAAACAATTCATTTAATTTAAATAATTACATTAATTTCTTTAGTTTTTTCCTTTTCAATAGCATACAATTGCACTTGATACTTTGATGAAGTAGGACGACATGGCACTGTCACATCACTACCGGATGATTCTAAGACGAATTCTCCAGCAGAATTCTGATGAATAGGTAAGTCAAGAAACAAATACTCGGTTGCTAAAAAAAATTGTTCAAATTAATCCCTTAAAAATTTTATTTTAATTTACTCAATTTATAGCAGTTTTTTTTCTGTACAAAGCCGAAATATTAATTTTGAACTTTACATTTAACAAAAACGTAAATCCATTGGACGTCTAGTTCACCACAAATGTCGGGAGTAAATAACATCCGATTCTGATTAATTTTTTTGTATTTTTCAGAGACAATAGCGCAACCATACCATCCACTATCACTGTAAACCGTTTTTTGACGTTCGAATCTGGAAAAGTGTTTGTCTCCTGATACAGAATACGAAATATTTTCTGGAGAGTAAATCACCTGTTCGAAAACTACATGATTATTTATTTATCATGAGTTTTTTGTAAGTTATTAGTACTTGATATGCCTACGTTTTTTATTAAAAGTTGTGGATAAAAAAAACGAGCCCTTTGTGTACTTGTACAATCTATTGTCAATGGTTCGCCTTCAGTAATAGAAATTTCCCATAATTTTGATCTAGTGTTTGGCAGCAATTGGATGTCAGCTGGATAGAAATTAAATTTATTTAATGTATATATACACAGAGAGAACAATTTATTTGAATCAAATGAGACTCGTTTATTATAAAGAAATCTATTATTTTAATACCACCAACTAATACTTATTTGACACAAATAAATGAATTTATTTGAGACAAAAGTATGGTTTATTCAGTGTATTTATTTGAATGAAATAGTTATGTGTTTATAGTTAACAAATATTTCACTAATACTTTAAAATCATTTATTTCATTCAAATCAGATTTGTTAACTATAAACAAATGTGATATTTTAATGTCGGTAAAGAAATCATGCTCTGTAGGATAGTAAATAATATCTGAAATATTTTTAGGGTCGTGAAAGCAATGAGGATGAGCTCATTTGTATAGTTTCTATTAGGGTTATTTTTAATGAACTAAAATTATTAGGTAAGAGTTGGATTTTTATAGTTTTGTTGAATTATTAAATTAATCTAAAATTTATGTATGCATATAAAATTACTCAATTATAACAAGCGACGATAAAGGTATTAAAATTACGATAACTAAAATAGCGACAGTAGCGACTCAAACGCCTTATGATTTATTTAAAACGAGATTTTTTAACTATTAACAAATCTTATTTGAATGAAATAAATAGGCTAATTAAATCAAATATACCAAAACAAAATAGTTTTTTGTTAGAAGTAATCTATATTTAAATAAAACAAATTTGTTGATATTAAATACGTATTTTTAAGAGTAGTATGGGGCACATGCTGCGAGACTTGTCTGATCCTCACTCCTCAAACGGGTACTCCTCAAATGAGTCACCTAAATCGTTGGGATTCATTGTAATCAGAAGTTAAAAACTGAATGTGCTTTGAAAAAAACTTAGTTTCAAATCTACTAAAAATATTACAGATCACCCCCACCCATTTCAAGGTGTAACTTAGCCAGAAAATCCTGTAATAACATACAGTTAAGGAAGACCGGTTACGAAACCTATAGCTTGTAAGTATATAAAACCAGGGGTTCTAAATAAGAAAATCTCAACCACCCTAGACCCCGTCACATACCTACCCAGGCAGTTGATGTTGGAAAAATTTTCATGTCATTTTATGACCTTATTATATACAAAAGTTTATTACCCCCAAGGTGTGAACACCTGCATACATCCTCTGAAGTCGCCGCTTAGGACCTAAACAAATAATCACCCATATTTGGAAAGACCTTCAAGGACCCATCTGGGCCATCACTACAGTAGGGAATTCCCTCGAACCACTGGAAGAGATGGAAAAACCCCTGTCCCAATGGAGGGGGAAGGTAAAACACCGGCACCAGGGTGGAGGAGTGGGGGCCAGACAAGTCTCACAGGATGTGCCCCATACTACTTTTAAGTTATTTTAACCCTTTAATGTTCTGGAAGCGCTGTGAATCTCAGTGTGAGTTGTTAGGGGAGAGAGCCAATCATAGTCCGTTATGCGGTTGTATGAGAGACGGTTTAATTGTAGTAGTGTGTCCATGCGTCCCTCTCTACTACTTTTCTGGCCCCCTCTCTAGGAAAAAGACTATAGCTCTCTCACTTAAATAAAAAGACATAAGACTCGAATTAAGAGTGGGGATTCAAGGCCGAACATTAAAGGGTTAAATAAATCTACGAATAATTTAAATCAAACGAATTGTTTTCTCAGTGTAGAGCAATCCACTAAGCATAGTGAAAAAGTTATCTTGATTACCTGGCACATTAACAGTTTTTATAACAGCAGAATCACAGGCGATTTCGTTGCATGCATGACATAAAATTTTTCCTGTATTTTTTGCTTCTATTTTGATTATTGATTTTATTCTACTCCAGCTACTTTTAATATCTTTCACCTAAATAGAACAAATTACTTAAAGAAAAAAAGATCTATAAAGATTAGAATGGCAAAAAAAAAACTGAAAACATTTTTTGAGCCTCCTGTGAAAATACGTTAGTTTATCATATTTTTATAAGCCCTCTTCGAAAATCAGCCAGGTAAAAAATTTTTTATAAATAAAAATTTCAATCTGAAATTTTTAAAATACACATAACTGTAAAAAATTTTTTTTTTTTATCTGATTCTTAGATATGACTTTAAAAACATGATGAACTAATATATTGTTATAGAATAATTGTAGCCAGTTTTTTTGTGCCACCCTAAAAAAAATCAATACTATTAACAAAATTTACTAACATTGAAAAAATTATTTGCTGCTAGATTCTCAGTTGAATTTTTAAAATTGTTTGTATATTCCCATGTTATAAATGGCAGCGGATTTCCTTGAGCTTCACACTCACACTCTAATAGTTCGTTTGATGAAAAATACGTCGCTTGGATACTATCCAATTTTTTTGTTATTAAAGGCTTCACTGAAATTTATAAATGATACCAAGTGAGGTAGAAAAAATTTCATTTAATTATTTAGACTAAATAATTAAAAAAATGTATTTTTTACTGAGTACGTCGACAAAAAAATCTAGAGTTTTAGTTCCCTTCGAATTAGTAGCTATTAGTGTATAATTTCCTCGATCCTCAAGAGTTAAGTCAGGCTTATCTAAATTTATGGAAAAATTTTCGTCATTGACTTTATAGTTATGAAAAGTCCAATCATTGTTTATTTCTTTACTCTTGGGATCAAGCCTAATTTTAAAAAAAAATTAACTCATTTTTGAACAATTTAACTCTAAGATAAAAAGCCCATTTACTGACACTGTCTTAATTTTTTGATTCTTGCAATTTTATACCAATTAAAAAAATTAAATGTTCTCAAAAAACTAATTATCTTAAAATTTATAATTCACAAATTATAATTATTAATTTATTGGAGTTGACTTCATTTTTAATTAAAATGAAATTGCAAATGTCAATAACTGGGTCTTTTACTTTAATTAAATATGATTTTAAAAAACAATAAAATGTAAAATGGATTAAGAATAAATATTGAGTTACCATTTAAATTTTGGCAAAGGATATGCCGTAATATTTAATGTCCACTTGATACATTGGCCAACTTCTTTCTTATATTCATTAACCGAGCTTTCCATTGACATTTCTAGGCGGCTTTCAGCTTAAATATCGATAATTTTCAAATTTAAAAAAGTAATATAAAAATTTAGATAACGGTAATTATTACTGTCGAATAATTACTTACTGTGGACTTGAAGGTCAGCCTTTGCATTTTTTATAGTGTCAAATCCGTAAAACTCACATTTATATTCACCAAAATTGTCGATTGTTACATTTTTTATTGACAGTTGACTTACATGGACGTTTAAATTTCCATCAAAATAAGAAATAAATTTTCTGATGTAATTTTTCTATATTTAAAAAAACTAGATTTTATTCGGAAAAATAGTGTATTAAAAGAAGCAAGTAATATTATGTAGGATTCTGTTTCAATTAAGTAGCCCGACCGATGGTAAGTAAGGTTTCTTGTTCAGATTTTTTGAAACATCCCTGATAGCCACCTTACCTGAAACTTGCTGTCAATCTACGACCGCAATTTGAAGCAAACTTGGCGGACAGAGTTGGCAAAGCAAGCGGTTTCAGTTAAGTTACTCTGCAAATAGACGTCAAGATTTGCTGTACAAATATTTCAGTCAAATTGTAGTAAAATTGAAAGGAAATTTAAGTAAAAGTTTGATTGTTAACTTGTATTCAAGTTGCGACCGTAGATTTTCGTCAATTATTTGCTTACAACTGTTATTTAGTGAAAAATTACCGCCAACTTGATGTTAAGTTAACAGAACTGCTGGAAGTCAACTATTTTCTAAGTAAGCGCTGGCTATCAGGGATAATTTATAATAAAGAAACTTTCAAATATGACTTTTTTGAATTTCCAACTTATAAAGCACGAATAATTTAATAGAATTAAAAAGAAAAAATTTTTTGAAATCAATTAAAATAACTATATTCATACCCAGTTAGCACAAATGAAATCAAGTTCACGTAAACCTGCGGCCGGAATTGGACGTTAAGTTAACGCTAACAGTAAGGCAACAGTTGTACTTATAACTGTTTACGTGAAGTTAACGTCAACTTTCTGCAAACTTCGCGTTAACTTTGAGCGAACTTTTTGGTCAATTCCGGCAGTAGATTTACTCTAACTTGATGCATAAGTTAAAATCAAGTTCTGGGACACTGTTGCAAATGCAAAAGTTGACGCGAAGTTAACGTAAAGTTGACGTAAACCATTAAACATCAACTTAATTGATTGTCAACTCGTGCTAACTGGGTAATTAATCTGTGAAAATTATTCAAACGATTTTTAGACTTGTATCAATATGTGATAGTTAATCATCTGTAGATAATTACCATAAAAAATTGTGATCATACCTGTAGTGGCGTTATCCAGCGAAATGTATCATATGAGTAAGATTTTTCCGTGCTAATAGTACAATTCATTGAAAAGTCCTCAGCAACAGTGATTTGTTGCAGAGGTCGGGAAGAAATTTCTAACGAATTTTCTAGAGTATTGCCTGAAAAAAAAAAAAAAAAAAACCGTGAAAATTTCATTTAATAATTTATAAGCTAAATTTATGAAGACATATTTTTTATAAATAACCTTTAACCCTCAAGTTTATCAAAACATAGTTTGTCTTATGTGGTGGAGGAACGTCGCATAGATATTTTCTTTCGTCATTAATGTTGACATTGTGCAATGTAAATCCTTTTTTTGGATGATAGGATAATTTTTCACTTAAAGGCATAAATACTGTGCGTCTAGATTTCTGCAAAAAAAAAAATACAAATTATCACAATGAAAAATGAATCTTTTTAATCATTTAATTTGATTAAATTTTTAATTTAACTATGAAATATTAATGTAAGATGCTTCATAAAATCTCTGTAAAATGCTTAAGCTTATTGGACAAAAACTTTATCATGAAATTAATCATATACTTACTCTTTCTACATAAGAGAGAGTTACGGTGTAATTTGGAGAGGTTGGGTAGCACGGAAAATTTACATCGCTTCCAACTGGACTTTTGAGGTGATACATTTGAGAAGTAGAAGTGAGTGATTTTTTTTCAGCTGAAAATACAATTATAAATATATTTTATACAACAAACCATACGCTCAATAAGGTAGTTTTTTTGTTACATTTTACGTAAACGTAAACCCAGTGTATGTCAATTTCATTGTAAGAGTAGGGTGTTACCAAAATGTTTCGTAAATTTAGCTTTCGTTGATTTTTGCTTGCCTCAATCCATCCATACCATCCAGTGTCGCCAAAAACAGTATTCGGTTTTTTCAATATAAATTTTGATGAGTTTAACGCAGTTTCTACTATAAATTCCACTGGTGATGTAACAATCTATTAAAATATTAATTTTAAGCTTCCGTAATATTTTAGAAATAAAAATTAATCACTTTAAAAATATTACGGTGAATTTTTAAATAGAATAGTTAACTTAAGAGCGATCATAGTTTATTTTCAAACGTGTTTTGTTCATGTATAAGATAAAATTTTGAAAAAAACGCTTCGCTCTTTGATAGATAAATTAATTATCTATCGAAAAGCGAAGCGCTCTTTTTGAAAATTTTCATTTATTTAAAAAGCGTTTTAAGATTCCATTTTTTGTACAAGTATGATAGAGATACTTTCATTTGTCTAATTTTTAGCTTGAAATAAACTCACTTGATCGTTGATCGTTTTTGGATAGAAAAAATCAATATCTTCTGAAGCTGTACAATTTATATCCAATGTTTTTCCTTCTTCAATGTAAATTTCTTCTTGCGGGGTAGTTAGTTCTGAAAAACAGACTAAAAAAGAGGATGATTTTCAAATTCATCAAATTTAATTATAAAAAATACACTCACAGAAAATATTTATAAGAATTAAAGTGAAATATTTTAAATACATCGTCACTTAATTATTTGAAAAATAATACGTAGTATTATTTTTGACTTTAGTCAACAATAAAACCCGATGGACTAAATACTCAAATAAAAAATTGGACGTTGTTAATGACTTCCGATAACCGAATATACTTTGAAGTATTTAAGCCGCAGGGTATAGATTGTTTGATATAAAATTTATAAATGGAAAATTATTTATATTCTTCACGCATGACGATTTGTACGGTTTATTTAGGTTTTTATAAATTTTTTTAAGTTAAACTTCTTTGCGCGGGTTAAAGGTAAAATTTCAAGGTCACGTCATCGTAATTGTAAATAAGTGTGACAATTAATGATGTGAAATGACGGTCATTTTTAATTTTGATCAAATCACGAGCAATTGACAAGCAAATGCTCGTCAATTGACGTCATTTTTTTTGGTCAGTCACAAAAATTCATGAGCATTTTTTTTCTTTTTACGAAAGTTTCTGTCAAAAAAAAAAACAATTCAACCTATATCATATACAACCTAAGTATTTTAAATATTCAAAACAAAATTTATCTTGAATTCCGACGGCAATAAATAAATTTGGCTTTCTCAACTATTTAGATGGAAAATGACCATCAAAAATTTTTTGGTCAAGTTTTTAATAATTTTTTAAGATGTTTTATTTATAATTTCGCGGGAATCGCCATTATATTCGAAAAATGACTGGTAGTCATTTTTTTTAGTAGGTCAAATGAGACGAGTAATTAACGAGTAAATGATTTGCTTCACATCACTAATGACAATTATTATATGAGTAATTTAAAAATTTAATAGAAAAGAGACCTACAAAACAACTTCACAGGAAGATAGTTACAACACAAAAACTATAATTTTTCAAAATTTACAATTTTTCAGCGTATATGAAGACATCAATTTACATTCTCTTTAATGATTACAGAAAGTTAAATCAAATTGTGATATCCAAAGTACTCAATGTTTTCTTAAAATTCAACAATTTTTTCTTGCACTTTAAATTAAATTGGTTATCTGTGAAGTCAAGACGTCTATATTATTTAATCACTTATTATTATAAACTATTGCAAACAGGAAAACCTAGTTACCTTAGGGAATTATTTGTTGAAGATGAAGCTAAACGTTCTGAAAGATTAGCTATAAAAACAAATAATGTAAATTTTGAATTGCCAAATTTTTCTACAAATTATCTTGAAAATTCATTTGTAGTAACTACAATACGTTTGTGGCAAAATTTACCTGCAGAAATTGCGAATGCAAGCAGTCTAGAAGTGTTTAAAACAAAGATCTATGACTATTTCTTGGAACTTGAATTTCAGTAAATTACCTTCACGTTGGCTTCTGTATATATTCAAATACTCTTACAAACTATTGTTACTTACTAGTCAAAGCAACTACCATTATATTGTTAAATACGTGGATTAGAATAAATATTACATTGTTACTTATTAAATCAAATTTAATCTAAAATTAAAACTAAAGTTAAATCTAAAATAAAATTATAATTGTTATTTTATAAATAAGATTTTAATGTACACCTACACCTAAGTTTATTACTTTGTATTAAATTTTAAGTAAAAATTTATAAAACTATGTACAAACCTTTGCCATTCAGCTAATTGCCTTGGCATATTAAATAAATACATACATACATACTTCTATTGCGTCTCAATAACGTATGCGCGTTAGCTTAATTTATGACTATAATATGCGAATACGTTTACTATGAAAAATTTTGAAATTTAATATGTGCAATTGATAAAATTCGTTTTCAGCCTCATTTTAGTCCAGGAATTCAACGCACCATAGTAAAATATAATAGAAAATTTTTACAGTGGATAGTAAAAAAACTGGCCAATATGACCACAGAAATACCGTATTATTTCAGAACTATATCGGTAAATTTATGGTTAGCGCATACATACTCAACATTTACGGTATTTCAAATACCGCAAGGGTTTTAAAAAAAAGTTATTGAAAAATTTCAATCGTTTCCATTTTGACAATTTTAATTAAAATACTCTCTTATCATAATAATAATAATAATAATTACTTACCTTTATTCAATTAAATCCCTACAAGTTTACGGCTAAGATAGTCTGGCCTCTAAAGATAATTATCCGGGAGATATAAGCAACGATTCCCTCTTCTTTTTCTGAATAATATTATTTATATTTTGGTTTATATTATTATTTATATAATCAATATAATTAAGAGGATAAGGAAAATCTTGCGACAGACACATCTTGATCATAAAACGGGTTTCTATGATTGAATTTCATACCATCAAAAATGCGGCTTGAATTTATGTTTTTTCAATGTTTCACATCAATTTCCTGTCTTCAATTTATCGAGATATAAAAATAAGAAAAATTTTTTGACATGCACATTTTTATTATAAAACAGATTTCTGCAGATAAAAATTAAAAATTGTGCTATCATAAGGGTCATAATTTGAATTTATTTCTCTTTATTATTTTATATGCTTATGGCAATCTCTAAAAAAAAAAAAAAAAAAAAAATTCAACTATATTTTAGATTTAAAAACTTTAATTAAATTTTAATAAGTTCATGACTAAGATTTTAATAAAAAAAATTGATAATTTTTTTATTTGTATTTGTTAATGCTTTTAAATGTCTTCAATTTAATTATAACGATAAGAAATTAATGGAATTGGAAATTCCCAATTAATAAAAAATCATAGTAGTAGTTAAAAATCACTTCCGTATAAGTTAAAATGTAAATATCAAAACGAACTCCCAAATGTTACCTTCATCGATCTGTTATTGACAAGCGACGTTAAAACACTAAAGAAGACTATAAGTTCAATTTACGTGTCTTTAAAGTCTTATAACAAGCTTATCTTTATACAACTGTTGATTCATCTGTTAAAAATGGCCGTTAAATACATTTGTTTCATACTTCTTCATGTTTGTAGTATCCTTCGCACATAAACCATCAGAAATATATCACCTCTTATTAACGAGATTTACTTGATCGAAAATGATACTTTAACGATCAATTGTACTGGTTCTAACCCGGCATTTATATATCCACCAAACTCGATCGACGTAAGAGAAAACACACTCTACATTATTTTACAAGATTGCAGAAGAAAAAAATCTGGTTCTCTGATTGAGGAAAATCAAGTTAAATAGATTCATCACCATTTAATTGAAGTTATTAGACCTAAAATCATTTATCAACAGATTCGGTAGAATCTGGCGCCAAGTTCCGTTCTCAAGCCAGACTACCGAGTGTGTATATACCGTAAGCAGAACGGTTTTTTAAGGTTACAAATTTTTTTTCAAATTTAATTTGATTTTTTTTTTATATGATATTTTATAATAGTAGTTCATGCTTTTTATTACGCGTATTACTTGATTACTATCAATTATCTTTATAATTTCTATTTAAAATTATTAAAAATAATCAGCACAAACTATAGCGACCCAGATTTTTAGATTTTAACTTTTTTCTTATGTAAAAAGCGGACGGCCAGAGACTAAATAATATAAGGATGCATGCTAATCTTATAATAGATGAGAAACTACAGTGAAAAAAAGATATTTGACAGCTTGCAAATACACACGCCAGACGGCGCAAGAATAACTTTTACATGAACTATAGCTTCAAGGGGATAGTTTCTAGTTTGCCACCGGAAATGCATTGAATTAAAATTGTCAATTTTTATTATAATTAAAAAAAATACTGAAATCCGAACAAAAACAGTTTCACTGTAAAAAAAAAATCGCGCCAAGTCCACGTTCATAAGACTATTAAAAAAAAAAAAAATTTTATTTCTTTACAAAAAGATATAAAATAAAAAAATCCAAGTAACCGACGATATGGTTGTATATGATTTTCGGAAAATAAAAAAAAAATTTTTTTTAATTTTAAAAATAAAATCAACAATTTTTTGATTAAATATTAATAGATAAATTTTTTTAATGTCAAACAAACATTATTAATTAGTTATTTTTTAACATTAATAAATATTTACTCAAATTGTTGAATGAAAATTAAACATAAAAATATAATTTATGGTGATGCGTCGCAACTCAACTTTTTTAAACATAATATCTAACGGGAATTTCATAAAAAGTGAAATATTTCGTAACCACGCACACTAAATACGTTCCAAATTTTTTTTTTTAATTTTTAAATTTACAACAAATTTTTTTTAATTTCCGAAAATCATAAACAATCATATCGGTTACTTGGGTTTTTTAATTTTTTTATTTTTATACTTTTTGTAAAGAAAAAACTAATTTTTTTTTCTTAATAGTCTTATGAACGTGGACTTGGCGCGATTTTTTTTACAGTGAAACTGTTTTTGTTTGGATTATATTGAACCCCAATAGATAGTTACTTAAACTATTTTTAATTAAATATCGGCTTAATGGTCATCTTGATTAACTTTAACTCAGAGAACAGACAAAATAATTCAGACAGCTCGGATCGGAAACCAAACCCGGCCGGATCTTTTGGTTACGCACTAAGAGCTCTTCCAGTTTATGTATCTGAGACATCGTCCGTAACAACCTATCAGTCACCTAATAATTTTTTGTTTAACACGATAGAAAAATATTTATTAAAATATAGTTGATATAACTATTTATCAATAGTTACTTAAACTAATGCATAATTCGAATAACTACAAAAAAAGTTCATAAGACTATATTTTTATGTTTGTTACGTTATAATTTAGCTAACTATGCACTTTTCTTTCAGTATAATCATGAAACAAAAATATGATTAATAATTTTTATTACTTATTTAAATAGATTCCTACGTCAGTTAAAAATTTTTCACGATATAATTTCGAAGATGTCGTCAACATCGAATTATTTACGAATAAAACAGTTTATGGTGATTCCGGATGGTACGGATGCGTCAACGCTGATGACTTGAAAAATTTTAAAATTGCTAATGAAACTGCCATCACACCTTATAACTTTATTAATTCTGGAGCCAAGTGGATCTACGTTTTCGTTAAATGTATGAGAAAGTAATAAAAATCTTATTTTTCCGATTCTTAATTTTTGCAAACAATTCTTTTCTTTTCAGCAAACACCAATCACTTCGTTGGATCTTCGGATCTCCTTAAAACCTTCCGCGTTAAAACTGGTGATGATATCTTGATTCCATGTCGACCAACTTCGCCATACTTCGAGATCAAATTAACAAAAGACGAACAAGTACTTACTATTCATTAAATAATATTTAAATTATATTTCTTGATTGAATGTCAAAATTAATCCGAATTTTCAATTATTTTAGGGAATTAAATTGAATGAACGCATCAATTTTGATCCAAAAAGAGGATTTGAGATAAAGAACGCTGACTTAAAAGATAATGGGTTCTACCAATGTATCATTAAAGTAGACTATCAAGCACTATCTTACTACGTTCATGTTGCAAGAAAACAGCTTTGAAGAAAATGTAATTGAATATATTTTGAAATAAATAAACATTTATGATATTCATACGTTACTTATTAATAAATTTTCAATTGTTATAAGTTATGAACCATTGACAGTTCCTTTATAGTAATTGATTGTTAACATGTACGTATAATCTATATACAAATATTTGAATCTGCGGCGCCTTTACAGTATTGCACGCTTCATAGCGTGAAGCGCGTAAGATAGTGCTTTACTCTGACCTCGTCATGGTCAAGAAATTTTGTGATCTTCAAAAGCCTTTATTACAACCATACTGCACTTATACAATAATATGAGTACATTTACATCGAGAAAACACTTGAAGTAAACCATTTCATATTTTTCAAATATCATTTTAGGTTACTATTGTGAAAAGAAAATTAGGAAAACGGTTGACCCTGAAGGCCACTCCTGCAACTTGCCGCTAATTTTATACCTAGGCACTTAAAATTGCACTTATGAAGTTTTTGAGCTCTTCGAGCTAAAAAGAACTATTTATGTGTTATTGTGAGCTCTCCGAGCTAAAAGGGATAGCTCTTCTATGCTTTTGAGCTCTTCGAGCCCAAAAGTCTGATATTAGTTTAATAGAACACTATTTTTTGAATTTTCAAACCGGCATTCGACGCAGTTTTTTAAGCCTCCTAAAGAATTTTTGAGTTTAAATTGATCAAACTAGGAATTTCGGAGTAATTCCGACACTTTTTTCAGTTTTCTTTTGTTCACGATATCTCTCGAACGAATCAATCGATTTAGCTCAGCTTGGCGGCGATCGACGTAGTTTTTTTATGTTTAAAGCTAATTGGTTTTTGGAATTGATCAGTAAAGCCGTTTAAAAGTTATTCCAGAAAAACCACATTTGAAAAAAAATTTTTTCGTGGTTTTTTTGTGATTTCTCAAAAACTACTGGTCCAAATGAGTCCACATTGTATTCAAAATCTAAGTTTGGTCAAGCTTTTTCGAATGACACCAACCGCGATGAAATCGGTTAAACCGTTCAAAAGCTATAAGTGGTTCACACACACACACACACACACACACACACACACACACACACACACACACACACACACACACACACACACACACACACACACACACACACACACACACACACACACATCACGTGTCGGGTTTGCTGGGTCCTGCATCGGGCGTTCAGCCTCACCAGGTGGCGAACAGGAGAAAGCCCGACATATCTGCCCGTCAGATAAATCGGGTACCGAGGAAATAAAATACTCGAGTAGGACCAAAATCTAGCAACAAAACGATATGGAAATGTCACAGACCTTTCAAACATCGTTTACAGTACAGAGGATGGATACCTCAGTGTATTTGACAAAACCTACACCACGAGGCAGTCGGGCAGCCTTCTGCGAGATAGACGAGGCTAGCGTGATTAAGATCCTTGACAAGGCCCGTATAAAGATTGGATATGGGTTGTCGCATACGCCCAATTACGAAAGTAACCCGATACTTTAAATGCCTTGGTTTTGGACACCAAATGCGAAACTATACGGGACCGGACAGAACCAAGTGTTGCTATAAATGCGGCAGAGAAAACCACAAGTCCGTAAACTGCACGGAGAACCCGGGGAAAAAAAATTATATATAATTTTATATAGTTATATATAAATCATTATATATAATTATGTATGAGTTTTGGCCATATATAATTATATAAAATTATATATAATTATATAAAAAAAATTTATTATTTTTTTTAATTATATAAAAAATTTTTTTTAATTTTTAAATTAAAAATAAGTAGGAATTGGACCTCACAGAATATTTGCGATTATCTATCTGATGAAAAATTCTGAGGGTCGACGGAATTTGAACTCGGGTCCTTCTAGTTGCCAGTTCTGCGCGCTACCACTGATCCAGATTGCACGATGCAGCTACCGAACATTATTTATCTGACTTACGTTGTATGATCATGAGGGCAAAGTAGTTCCTAACAATTTGACCTGCTATTATATACATAGTACATAGTAAAATAAAAAGCAAACCTTCTTTGTTAAATTTTGCAAATACTAGTTAACGTAAAAAATCAGTCGAATGGTCCAAAAAAGATAGTCAATTTTACGTGGGTTTACTCGATTAAATAACATTACCTTCAATTGTACTCGGGAGGTTGTTTCTAGATAGTTCAACAGAATATTATAAAATTTCAGAACAAACTGAATGACGATCACTATTTGTTAATTAATAATAGGCAATTGAAAAAATGCTAATTAAGTAAATTCTTCTTCCGAGCTAATTGATTTTAGATTTTCAAGGTGCAGAAATGAATTGTAGAGCTTAAAAAAAACGGTAATGTTTTTTATTAAATTAGAAATTTTCAGTGCCCATTCACATGCTTCCTAATCTAAGCTTTATAAATTAATGTAATACATTGTTTAGTGATTTTCTTATTTGATACATATCGATATATATGTCGACATTCTTAGGCTTGAACAATAGTAAGTAAAGTTTCCCGTTTGACCATTGCAATCAGGAATCATAGCTATTTATTTGCAAGTTGTGACTAACGGCGAACTTCAAAGACATTCATCTATATATTTTAAAACATCCACGTCTGACCAATAGCAGAAAAATTATAAACAATTCAAATTTAAGCCTAGTTTTATAAAGAAATGATTTAACTCTCGGGAAAATATTCGGATCGCCTTGAAATTTTAACAGCTCACTCCTTAAATAGGATGATTTATATATAATCATATAAAATTATATATAATTTTTTTCACTAGGGATCGTAGTGGGATACTTTGGTCACATTTTATTAACAATTAAAGGCCTTTACAATTGATTTTTTCAACATTTTGCAAAATAAGTAAAAATTTATCAAAAAAAACTTTAACGCTGGTTATATTAAAGTATTTTATAATTGAAAAATTACATTAGATTTCTCAAATGCGTTGTCAACTGTATCTTTGGTGCAGCTTTGGAGCACTATTTTTTAAATTAATGAACAAATAGAAAAATGTTTTAAATTAATATGATAGCCTATCTCACCCGAGGATAGTGTAGCTTTCCAACAGTGAAAGAATTTTTTAAATCAATTCAGTAGTTTCGGAGCCTATTCAATGCAAACCAACAAACAAACAAACAATCAAATCTCTCCTTTTCATAATATTAGTATAGATTATATAAAATTATACATAATTTTAAATAGTTTTGTATAATTATATATAATTTTATATAACTATATCTTATTATATAAAATTTTTTTCCCTGGTAGATAAAATTATATATAATTATACAAAAATATATAAAATGATACATAATTATACAAAATTATATAAAATTATACATATTTTTATATAATTTTGTATAATTATATCTTATTATATAAAATTTTTTTCTCCGGGAAGATAACATTATATATACATATAATTATGTATAAATTTATATATTTATACAAAATTATATAAAATTATACATATTTTTATATAATTTTGTATAATTATATCTTATTATATAAAATTTTTTTCTCCGGGAAGATAACATTATATATACATATAATTATGTATAAATTTATATATTTATACAAAATTATATAAAATTATACATATTTTTATATAATTTTGTATAATTATATCTTATTATATAAAATTTTTTTCTCCGGGAAGATAACATTATATATACATATAATTATGTATAAATTTATATATTTATACAAAATTATATAAAATTATACATATTTTTATATAATTTTGTATAATTATATCTTATTATATAAAATTTTTTTCTCCGGGAAGATAACATTATATATAATTATATATAAATTTATATATTTATACAAAATTATATAAAATTATACATAATTATATTAAATTTTATATATTTTTATGTAAAATTAGATCAAATTATATATAATTAAATATAATTTGATATAATTATATATAATTTTTTTTCCCCGGGAAGCCAAAATGCTTCCTCTGTACACCGGACAAACACGCTCAAGATGGCGTATGTCATATTTCTGGCTCCGGGGCTTGTAAAGTATTCCGGTACCACACTTGTCGAAGCTACGAGAGGGCAGAAATGACGTGCATACTACAAGGATACCTGAATAGATGTGCGTTGGCGCAGAACTTACTTCGCCAGCAAGTCTTTGAAGAGAAGATCGACGTTTGTTTCATCTGCGAGCAATATCTAAACCTCCAAGATAGAGCATAGTTTGCAGACGAAACTGGCACAGCAGCAATTTGGATTGTGAACATGAAGAGCGTTATCGTCAACAACAGCGGAAGTGGAGCAGGTTTTGTTTGGATTCAAACCCCCACAACCTACTTCATGAGCGTCTATCTCTCACCTAATGACGGGATTAGTGTGTTCCGACAGAAACTAGCTAATATAGAAGATGCGATGACTAAGTTCAACTGCGAATTCCTCGTAGCTTGTAACTTCAACGCTAAATCGGCTGAATGGAGGGCTGCTTTCTCTGATACCAGAGGTAACGAGGTTGAAAAACAGCGTAACACTTTTCACAACCAGGGAACTATAGGACGCGGCGAAGACTCTCAAGACAGGAAAGGCACCTGGCCCTGATGGTATCCCGACATCGGTGATCAAGATTGTAGCCCTGGAATACCCAGATACTACTTAACGCTTACAACGCATGCCTAACAACCGGCCCGTTTTCAGCGGCTTGGAAGCGGCAGAGATTGGTTCTGTTGGACAAAGGTAAAGGTAGCCTTGTAACACCTTCGTCGTTCAGACCACTCTGCATGCTCGACATTGCGGGGAAACTGCTTGAAAAGCTCATACAGGGAAGACTACGCGACGACATCGACCTCGTGCTAGAGGCTTTGTCACAAACCAACATGGCTTTCGGAAAGGACGATGGACTTAATTTTACTTGATTCAAGAACTTTTTTTCTTGATTCAAAGCAATAAAATTCTTTAAAACTTTTTTCTTTGTTCAACGTTTTTTTTCTTGATTCAAGTTAATTTTTTTTCATTTTATAAGATGAATTTTTTAAACA